GCGACAGCCTTTGAAACTTGAACAAGGAAGCTGATCTTGTCTGAGAGCAGCGGAGGGAGGGTGGAGCTGCGCTCCTGCCTTGGCCGCTTCATCAGCCAGGTTGTTGCCACGAATTAGGAGTCGATTTTCCCAGTCCAGGCTGGGGTCTTCGATGAGGTGGGCCTTCACTTTTGAAACCCTCTGAATATGACTGGCAGCACTGGAGATGGCCTGTAACACTAGCCTACTGTAGGGTCTTCTTGGAGAAAGCTGCTCGCGCAGAGGCAACGCAAAGTGATCCACTACTGCCTTGCAATCCGAAATCAGCTCCGACGGCCCCCCCAGCATGGAAGCGGTGGCGGCTAGAGCGGCATACTCTGCTGAAACACTGGTCTGCGGATAAACATTGGACACGGTGCCACACATTCTAACTAAGATATGTCCGAGGGGGCTGAGGCAGACGGCGCCCCACCCCGATCGAGATAGGTCACGAACTGCATGCGGAAAACACGAGCCATCCAGGAAGGTCTTACCCCGAATCTCCTTCAAAGCCCCTGGACCTACAGCTGGCGGGGGGAGCCCCGCAGACACATAAGCTTCGGGAAAAACTTCGAAGAAAACCTGGTCCTGAGACTCCTGGACCGACAGGGGGGGAGGAGCCTCGGAGGACGGGTGGGGGAGCAGTCCCGTTTCGCACAGGACCTTGAAACCAGGAATCGTTTCAGCCTCGAGCTCGCTACGGATACGGAACAGAAGGGCTGGCTTGACCAGCTCCGATCGATCATCCTCGCAGGCGGGGCACTGCCACAAGCGGTGCAGGACTGTGTCACCATCCGCACCGCACAGGACACACCGATCAACAACTTCGTAACCGAGGAGCTTCGCTCTACTTAATGGCCAGAGGCCCTGACAGGCCAGGGTGCGAATGCATCCCTTTTGTTTGGGAGAAAAACGTTTGGAGTTCAACGCAGTGCACAAACATCGAAACACAACCCGGAGCCGTTGCCGTACTTGCAACCAGCCTCAAACTCGAGGGCCACAAAAATCGCACTTTTACAGAATCGCTGGAGGAGGGCGGGAGAGAGGAGAAGGAGAGGACGGTCCACTCCACGGTCGTCGGTGATGGTGTAGGGGTCCCTCATGCTCCATCCCAATCTAGCCACCGACAGATACATGGCCCCAATGGGCCCTTTGACAGATCTCCAGGTCCGCGGGGGGTTGTTCCACACAGATTGCCAGGCCGTCCAAAGCTGAGCCCAAGCCAGGCCCATCATGGTGGGCTGAGGTGGCCCAGGACCCGGTTCTGGCCAGCAGGCCAGCAGGCCCAGCCGAGAGAGGGAGAACCCCTCGGCGCCACGGCTCGACGCGGCGCGGAAGATGCCTGTCGGTTTCGATCTCAGACTTCCGGCGGGTGTGCCTTCGTTCCCCTCCTCTTGGCTTGTTTTCGCAGGCCTAGAGATTGACACCAACACCAATATCGGCGGTGTTCCTGCACCGAGGGAAGGAAGATCCCGACCTCGGCGATGGTGGTAATAATTCTGGCTTCCAAGGTGGCCGAACTATTACCACCAAGACCGAAATCTAGGATCATCTCCCCCCTGTGGAGGCAGCCCCGTGTCTTAGTGTTGGTGCCCATTTCCAGGCCTCCAGTGATACTTTCTCGGGGCAGGCAAAAGTTCCTGACCGTAGGCTGTTGGCTCCGACCCTAAGCAAGTGAGCGGGCGCACTCGCCCAACGGGGGGGGGGTCGCCGCAAAGCTCGTCCTCCCCTGCCCCCCCCCCCCCCCGCCTATTAAGGAAAACATGAGCATCAAATTCACCTTGGACACCCCCTCTCTCACTCCCTCCCCTCACCTTCAAGCCGCTCCCCCTGGAGGGTGGGAGAGGGGGGAGGGAGGGAGGGGAGGGAGGTTGAGACGTTCTTGACCATTTCGATCCGGTTCCGATTTGACATAGATGATGGTTGGTTCGATCCGATTCGATTTGAACGTTTCGGTGATCCGATGCCACCCGATGCTTGCATGGTGCTGGTGCGCATCCTGGTGCGACCGTTCCGACTTGAGTCCGGCTCCATGTCTACTCCTGCCGCGGAACTCCTCGAGGAGGGTGCGGCGCTTCCCAGCAGAGCAGCTCCCGATGGCCTGACCAGCAGGGCCTGCGGGCGACGTGTGGGGACCAGAGACGGCTCCAAACGACGCCCGAGGCCGTCGTGCACAATCCGCCGTGGCCCGCCCCGCGACCCCCCCGCGTCGCACCCGCGACACGCCTGTGATCCGCCTCGCGAGCCGCCCCCCGCCAGCAGCCCGCCGACGACCGGCCGACGGTGCGCCCGCGATCCCGCGCTCGTCCGCAAGAGAGAGAGGGGGGAGGGGGCAACAGGCACTGCCCTGGGAGGGTGTCGAACGTCCCCTTGGGGGAGCGGATGGGCCGACGTCTCCATGGGTCTCGGGGGGTCGCGCAGGTGCACGGAGAGAGAGCGCGCTCGTCTACGGCACTTCAGCTGGTGGTGCTTCCGCGTGGTCCATCCCGCCCCCCCCCCCACCCCCATCTACTCCCCCGTTCCCTCTCCGGTCTCCCGATGCTGCGTCGCCGCGGAGGAAGGGTCAAATGTCGTGTGTGTGTGTGTGTGCTTGTGTGTGTGGGTGTTTACTTGTGGCCTCTTCCGCGTGCCCTCTCCTGCATTCCAGAGTCGGTTGTGTGCGCGCGCGTGCTTCTGCACTTGCATGGCATCATCCACGCTCTCCACGTGCAGTCGTGGCCTGGCGTTTTGTTTAGGGGGCCACCTGCGAACCCTACCCCTGCCCCCCACGATTTCTGAGGGGGAGGGTGGGGTTCGCATGTGGCCCCCTACACGTGCAGTCGTGGCCTGGCGCTATGTTTCCATCTGGGCCCCATATGCAACGTCAGGTGGTACAGTCGGGGCGTTGACCTAAGGAATTTAAAATACGGAACGAGGCCCCTTTTCGCCACACATGGAACCTCGATCTCCCATGGAAAACCTAAGGAAAACCCCAGGCAGGCTGCGCAGCACATGAGGAACGCGGAGCCCCTCCCCAACGAAAAGGCTTCCTTCTTCCGGGCCCCGACGGTAGTTGAGCCAGGCGCCCGGCCTTCGCGCTCGCCCGCGGTGCTGCCGCCCGGCCGCCGGGGCAGAAGGCATGCCCTGCCCTGCTCGCCCTGCCCAAAGGGCGGGGGGCCTCTCAAAACCACGCGAAGGTCGGGACAGCATCGGATCGGGATACCTCGAAACCTCTGAGGATCGGCGGGTTTGGCGGATGTGTTGGGCGCCGCGGCCGCTCCAGAGCGTTCCGGAGCGCTCTCAGAGCGCTCCGGAACGCTCTGGATCGATGTATCCCGATCCTAGCCCTGTTTTAGGGCGGGAGGCCTCTCAGAAACGTTCGGGGACGAACCTGATCTGCACGAACGAAGTGGGCACGGAAAGAATGGGTACGATGCCCAACAGCGGATCCTGTTCATTTTGAGCAGGGCTCGCTGTCCACGCCGCCGCGGCCCGTGTCCATTCGAGACAGAAGGCCGCCTGCCCAACAGCGGCCGCTGTCGGTTTGGGACAACATTTGCTGTTCGGCATTGTACCCAGTTTTTCCGTGGCCCATTTCGGGCGTCCAAAGGGGCCAAGACCAAAAGATGGGCCCCCCCACCCTCCGAACAGCAGGGGCTCCCCGGATACATGCAGATGTGGTGCTCGCGCTGTCAATGCTCTGGTCTCCTAGGGCTTTGCAGCGTCGTCCGCACCTTGCTTCTGCATGTCCGAGCTCCGCAGCTGCCTGCACGGCCTCCTGTGCTCAGCTGCGCTCTTGCTCTTATGGACACGGCGCAGGCCTGACGAACGCTTGAGAGGCCCCTTCCCAGACATGCGACGCCCTGACTTTTTCGATACGGGGTCCCCGGAAGTCCCGACCCTTTCCCCGGGACCGGCTCTGCATCCCGTACTTGTTGCTGACGGTCCCGGGGCCCGGCGAGGGCCCCCTACAGAGGTCGAACGCGGCGAAGAGCCTCCGCCCGGCTGCTTTCACGACGCCATCACGTCTGGGGAGGTCCCTCCCCGTGTGTCCCCGGGGGGGGGCGGCGCCGGCGCCCGCGCGGGCCGTTCGCGCGCGCGCCCGTGGCCCCCGGGCTCGGGCCGAGGGCACGGCCGGGGGCCCGGCCGCCGGCCGGGAGCCGGCGCGGTGCGCGGCAGCATGTCGGCGGGCGGCGGGGCGGGGGGCTGCCGCGGGGGCCTGGAGGGCGTCCTCGGTCCTGCGGGGCGGCAGGACTCGGAGGGGAGGCGGAGGTGTGCGGCCCGTCGGTCTCTCCGAGAGCAGGGATGCTGCGATGCCCGGGCCCCAATCGGCCTCGGGCGCCTTTCCTGCTTCGAGGGTCGAGCGGTTCCCCGATCTGCCTCTGCAGGGGCGGGCGGAGGCCCAATCTGCTTACACCTCCTTCCTACTTCACGCTTCGACCCACTTCTTCCGACCGCCGGGTGCTGGAAACCGCTAGCCTTCCCTCGGTTTAGCCTTTTGGGGCCTCCTGGGAGGCTCTCGTCGCCACGTCCGGTTTCGACTCGAAGTCCTGGTCAGAACGCGCCCTGGGCGAGGTCTGGGGAGTAGCGGTGTCGGATCCCGCGGGTTCCCCAAAAGGACATTTGGGGAGGCTCCAGGTGACGCGCAGACAGCCCCACCAGGTGGTCCCAGCGGGCCTCAGCACGCCCCCTGGGTAACCCGGGGCGGTCTTAACGCCCCAGCGCCGCTGGAGGCGGCGCCCACGGGGGGCTCCGTGCCCCAGGGCTGAGGTATCGAGACCGCCCCGGGCTACTCGGGGGGCCTGCTGAGGCCAGCTGGGACCACTGGGGGGGGGGCTGGTTGAGGCCAGCCGGGACTACCTAGGGGGGCTGTTGAGGCCAGCCGGGGCTACTCGGGGGGGGGGCTCTTGAGGCCAGCCGGGGCCACTTGGTGGGGCCGTTTGTGCGCATCCCGAAGTCTCACCAGCATCTTCGACCATGTCGGGCGGCAGGACGTGGAGATCATGGAGCAGCAGAAGGCCAGGCACTACGTGGCCCAGATGGCGCTGAGCGAGAAGCAGCTCTCCATCCTCGCGGGCGACGTGGGCGTACTGCGGGAGGAGGTGGGCGCGCTCGCGCACAGCTTCCTGGCCCTGAGGGACTCGCACGATCAGCGCGGGCTGCTCGTCTCGAGGGTGCGGGCGCTCGAGGAGGCGTCCAAGGCCACGGGTGCCCGGTGGGAGCGGCGTTTGTCCAGCATTGAGTCGCAGCTGGTGGCTTCCATTAACAGTCGGCTACACGTAAAAGTGACCCTTCGCCAGAGTGACCTTTGGTGCGGGCTCATCGGCCCCCCCCCGATCGCTGAGCGCGATGCGATAGCAGCGGCATGCGCGCTTGGGTTTGGCCCCCATCGCGCCCCCCGAAAGCCGCGCACCAAAGGTCACTCTTACCCAGGGTCACTCTTGCGCGTAGCCGAAACAGCCACGTCAAGAGCCTGGTGGCACCTGGAATACATCCTGACGTTTACGCTCAGGACGTCGCCGAGCGGAAGCGGTCGCACGCCCATACGGAGGAGCGTTTGTCGAAGCTCGAGGCACACCTGACTGACTCCCGCTGGCGTTCGAAGGATTCGACCGTCGTCGCATTGTTGCACGAACGCGTGGATTGTTTTGAAAGGGAGTTCAGGAACTCCCAACGTCAACTGAAATCGCTGCAGGATTACAGCGAACCCCATGACCGAAACTCCCAGAACCTGGACGAAAAGAGGAGGGCTGCCCACGCTTTTTTGGAGGAGCGAGTGGCGTACCTTGAGAAGGAGCTGGGGGACTCCGCTGAGAACCATGCGAGGATGCTGCAGGATCACAGCGAATCCCACGACCGACACTCCCAGGACCTGGACGAGCGAAGGGCTGCTCACGCTTCTTTGGAGGAACGCATGGCGTACCTTGAGAAGGAGCTGGGGGACTCCGCTCAGAACCATGCGAGAATGCTGCAGGATCACAGCGAGACCCACGGCAAGCACTCCCAGGACCTGGACGAGCGAAGGGTTGCCCACGCCTCTTTGGAGGAGCGAGTGGCGTACCTTGAGAAGGAGCTGGGGGACTCCGCTGAGAACCATGCGAGGATGCTGCAGGATCACAGCGAATCCCACGACCGACACTCCCAGGACCTGGACGAGCGAAGGGCTGCTCACGCTTCTTTGGAGGAACGCATGGCGGTCCTTGAGAAGGAGCTGGGGGACTCCGCTCAGAACCATGCGAGGATGCTGCAGGATCACAGCGAGACCCACGGCAAGCACTCCCAGGACCTGGACGAGCGAAGGGCTGCCCACGCCTCTTTGGAGGAGCGAGTGGCGTACCTTGAGAAGGAGCTGGGGGACTCCGCTGAGAACCATGCGAGGATGCTGCAGGATCACAGTGAATCCCACGACCGACACTCCCAGGACCTGGACGAGCGAAGGGCTGCTCACGCTTCTTTGGAGGAACGCATGGCGTACCTTGAGAAGGAGCTGGGGGACTCCGCTCAGAACCATGCGAGAATGCTGCAGGATCACAGCGAGACCCACGGCAAGCACTCCCAGGACCTGGACGAGCGAAGGGCTGCCCACGCCTCTTTGGAGGAGCGAGTGGCGTACCTTGAGAAGGAGCTGGGGGACTCCGCTGAGAACCATGCGAGGATGCTGCAGGATCACAGTGAATCCCACGACCGACACTCCCAGGACCTGGACGAGCGAAGGGCTGCTCACGCTTCTTTGGAGGAACGCATGGCGTACCTTGAGAAGGAGCTGGGGGACTCCGCTCAGAACCATGCGAGAATGCTGCAGGATCACAGCGAGACCCACGGCAAGCACTCCCAGGACCTGGACGAGCGAAGGGCTGCCCACGCCTCTTTGGAGGAGCGAGTGGCGTACCTTGAGAAGGAGCTGGGGGACTCCGCTGAGAACCATGCGAGGATGCTGCAGGATCACAGTGAATCCCACGACCGACACTCCCAGGACCTGGACGAGCGAAGGGCTGCTCACGCTTCTTTGGAGGAACGCATGGCGTACCTTGAGAAGGAGCTGGGGGACTCCGCTCAGAACCATGCGAGAATGCTGCAGGATCACAGCGAGACCCACGGCAAGCACTCCCAGGACCTGGACGAGCGAAGGGCTGCCCACGCCTCTTTGGAGGAGCGAGTGGCGTACCTTGAGAAGGAGCTGGGGGACTCCGCTGAGAACCATGCGAGGATGCTGCAGGATCACAGTGAATCCCATGACCGACACTCCCAGGACCTGGACGAGCGAAGGGCTGCTCACGCTTCTTTGGAGGAACGCATGGCGTACCTTGAGAAGGAGCTGGGGGACTCCGCTCAGAACTATGCGAGGATGCTGCAGGATCACAGCGAATCCCACGACCGACACTCCCAGGGCCTGGACGAGCGAAGGACTGCCCACGCCTCTTTGGAGGAACGACTGGTGGAGTTCCAAGGGCGCGTGGCAGATGTCGAGGGCAGCTTGCGGGAGGACCTGAAGGACCTCCAGGACCTGCGAGCCTTTTACAGGCGGCATTCCTCGCTGCCTGAGCGCGTGACCTGGCTGGAACAGGAGCACGCCAGCGCAGCAGAGCGTCGCGTGGCCGAGACGGTAAGCCTGAGGCGGCTCCACGAAGAGATTCGCGGCATGCACGATGGTACCTGCCTGGAGGCCCGCGTGGGGGCGCTGGAGCGGAAAGAGGCCCATGCGGTAGCAAGTCATGGGAGCCTTGTGTGCCCTCGTAGCTCCGCCTCTAGGGTGCATTAGCGCGCGCCAGCGCCTGGAGATCGATGAGAGAGAGCGCCGACTTAGCGCCGACTGGCGTCTGGCAGCGTCGATGTGCAAGAGCCAGGAAGATGTCGTGGGAGGCTCCCACGAGTTGCAGCAGAAGGCTCAGAGCGTCCGGCAACTGGACCTGCTTGCGGACTGCCTGCAGAGGGAGCTCCGGGCCAAGTCCAGCCAGCTGCGCCGCCCGTCCAGCCCCGCGTCGCTCGCGCTGCCCGCGGGAGGCGACTCCCCCGAGGGCACGGTGCCATCGCGCCCTTCGCCGGCGGCGCCGCCGAGCGAGCCCTCGGCGCGTGGCATCTGGTGGGGCTGATGCTGGAGCGCAGGGGAGACAAGCCGTGGGGCACGCCGACCCCAGACGCCAGGCGCCGCAAAAAGGACCACGGCGGTCGCGAGAGAAGAGGCACAGCCCTCATACCTCTGTGTGGCGGGGGGCTTCTTCGCTAGACGGGTCCTCGGGAGGGTCCCCGTGCAACAGGGCCCAGGCCGTCGGGGACAGCCGGGACCCCGGGCAGGGGGAGCTGGTGAAGTGATTGGGCCCCAACGCCCCCGAGATCAGCCCCCACACTTCAGCAAGCCCTGCCAACACGGGGCCCCGAGGCCCCGAAATTTGCCGCAGCCCGGCCTGCCGCGGCTGGTGTTTCTTCGGGTGACGGCAGTTCCGGTTCGTGGAATGGGACGGGGAGGCGCGCCCCCGTGCACATTACCAAGCCAGGTCCCTCTCTCAGTCGATCGCAAACATGGATCAAGGGGGCGTGGATTAGCGACGGGCCCCGTTTCCATGGGAAATCGCGGATCTCCGCCGCCGAGCGGGGCGGCACCGGCCGCATTTTGGGGAGGGCATCTCCCTCGATCCAGGGATTTGGCGACCTCGCGCCAAATCCATGGATCGCTAATCCATGTTTGCGCGCCCCCGAATGGGGCGGGGGAGGCGTGCCCCCGTGCACATCACCAAGCCAGGTCGTGATCTCTCCGCGGCTCCCAGGCGGTGGGGGGTCGGCGCGCGTTGCCGCGCGCCCGGCCGAGGCCGAACCAGGGCCTCAGGAGGCCTCCGAGGGCCTCGGGAGGCCTCCCGGGTTGGCGCCCCTCGGAGGAGCAAGAGCTAATGAGAATGATGCGCTCCAAGATCTGCAGGATTTCCCAGGTGTCCTGTTGTCCCACTGGGGCCACCGGGCCGCTGAGTATGCTTTTTGTGGGAGGTCCCGGAACGCATCCTGAGCCAGCCCCATCATCATCTCATTCCCGTCCTAGTCCGCTCCTCCTCCGCTTCCTCCTCCTCCTCCTCCTCCTCCTCCTCCTCCTCCTCCTCCTCCTCCTCCTCCTGCGCTGATGCCGTCCTTCTTCTCCTCCTTCTCCTCCTCTTTCTCCTCCTCCTCCTCCTCCTCCTCCTTCGTCCACCTGCGCTGATGCCGTCCTCCTCCTTCGCCCTCCTCATTCCCCCCTTCCCCCTGCGCTTCGGAAGGCTGAGAAGGGGCTCCCCGGCTTACCTGCCGCGCCATCCCCCGCGCGATCGGCCCTCCGAGGGGGCCCTCCAGCCCGGCGGAGGCGTGCATCCTGCGTCCTGCGTTCCTTCTCACCCCTCCTCTTCCTCCTCCTCCTCCTCCTCCTCCTCCTCCTCCTCCTACTCCTCCTCCTCCTCCTCCTCCTCCTCCTCCTCCTCCTCCTCCTCCTCCTCCTCCCTCCTCCTCCTTCTCGTCCTTCTCATCTTCCTCCTCGACCTCCTCCCCCTCCCTCCCCCTCCTCCGCCTCCTCCTCCTCCTCCTCCTCCTCCTCCTCCTCCTCCTCCTCCTCCTCCGCGAGAGTCCGCCAATAATCATCATCGGCCACGAGCAAAAGGGGGGCAGGGGGAGGGGGGAAGGCTTCTTCTTAGAAGCACCCCTGATTATTTTAGGACGCGCGGGCCGTGTCTGTAGATGTGGTGCTGGCGCTTTCTCTAAGGACCAGCCTCCTGCTGTGAATCCTTCCCCCCTCCCCCATTGCCCCCTTGTGCGCGCCGCCAGAATCAGCACCCTCCTGGGCACGGTCGTGACCCCTCTTCCGAGCCAGGATGGACAGGCAGGGGGAGGAGGAGGAGGAGAAGGAGGAGGAGGAGGAGGAGGAGGAGGAGGAGGAGGAGGATGAGGAGGAGGAGGAGAGGAGGAACAGAAGAGAAGAGAAGGAGGAGGAGAAAAGAGGAGGAGAGGAGGAGAGGAGGAGGAGGAGGAGGAGGAGGAGGAGAAGAAGAAA